GCAAACCACCTCTCCCCTACCTGAGCACAGGAGGTTCCTCACCAGGATTCACCTTGCTCCAGGCCACTGGACACAGAGCAGCAGGGGAGGGTTTGATCCTGTCACAGTTTTGCTGCCATAGGGGGCAAAAAAACCCCACTTTATAAAAATAAAACTTCAAAGCAACTCAAGCAGACAGCTCTGCCTTGATCCCCTCTCCAAGACAGGTTTTATGATGATGCTAAAATGCACCCTCTCTGCACAACAGACTTCACTGAATCTCACTCTGGATATGAGTTACAGTTACTTTGATATTTTCCTTAAATGTGCTGATACCCACACTCAATGATTTAATTCCATATAGCTTACATGGTTTTTTTTTCTGCAAGTCTCAGATGAAAAGAAATAATCTCTCACCACATTTGAAAACCTGGATTTCTGCCAGTTTCCTTAAAACACTACAATCTGTGCCAACTCAGTAATTTTAAACTACAGATTATTTATTTTTCTGCTCATACTACTTTTTAAAACACAGTTCAAATAGATACAGTTAGAAATTCTTCTTTTTCTAGTCCAAGATCCATTCTTACTAAGATCCTATTAGGATCCACAGACACATTTGCAATTCTTCCTGATGTTCCAAAGTGCTTTACAAAAAAATTGCAATTAAATTTAATCATTAAACATGGCATTACATTGGGTCATGTATTTAGATAATAATAGTCCACTTACTACTAATGAAGGCAGACAGAAAAGAACCTTACAACTGATTTAGTAATTTTAGCATAGGATGAAATTCTGAGGTTATTCAAGTTCTAATTCTGCATTTTGCCAATAAAATTCTCCTTGCTGCTGTTCAGCACACAGGTTGGAGCTCTTTGTAGCAGGCAGCCTCTCTGAAGAGGCAGAGCTCATTTTCTGATCAAGTGACTACTGTCAACTCCAAGGATGGGTATTTAGAACCCAAGAATGTATTATGAGCTGTAACTGCATTTATGTCTCAGGGAAGGTTAAGGGAAGAAGAACTCTCTCCAGCTGAAAAGCAATTTTCAGGATGAAGACTGGGGTTGTTGTTATTTGTAACTGAGAAAGGAACAAAAATTTAAGGCCAAGTGTTAGAACAAAATACTCCCAGGAAGGAGACTGCAAACTGTGGAATGGAACATGGGACCTCACACTTTTAACTGGTGCTGTTCAGCACCAGATTATTAAGTCTTGAATGTTAAAAACTCTTTTATTTGCAATCTCAGTTCTTGTCTTAGGGAGTTGGTGGCCACATCTCAATTGAAACGTGCAAGGATACTGAGACAATCTCCTAAACTGACTGAATCATGTTAGAACTTTGTGGTGAGTAAAACACATTTGAATTGCATAGAAATGAGACTGTTTTAGTTGTAGATATGGGATTAATTTAAGAAAATGTTAGGAATTTGTTGTTATTTTTAATGAGGAAAAGTCAAAGTGCATGAAGGGGAGGAATACATGCCCACACGATGGAGGAGAGAGAACAATCCCTAGCACAAGAACATCCCACAGCACAACTACACCTACGGGCCCTTGCCATAAATGGCTCAGTCTATTTCCAGATCACTGTCTTCACTGTAACATGCAGATGGATTATGTATAGAAGTCAGGAGCAGCAGGTCTTTTTCTGGCAGCAAACCACACTCCTGCAGAAAAGCCTCCAGGTCTACAGCAAAAAAATCTTCTCCAAGCTGGTCAGTGATGCGCACGAAATTGCCAATGAGCTCCCCTGCCTTGTAGACCAGCAGGGCTGGCAGGGCATTGTTAGTGAAGCGAGTGCTGGCACCAATGAGGGAACTCTTCACTCTGCAGAATTTCACTGTCGGGTACTCAGCAGCCAGGCAGATCATGCAGCCATTCAGGGATTCAGTGCCAGGGATATCATCTTCATAAATATGGATCATGATCAGTGTGCTCTTATGCTCTTTGTCCACGGTGTCCAGAAATGCCTCCCCACTGGTGATCTCAAACACCTGCTTGAACTGCTGCCCACTGTACAACTGCTGCCTCATCTCCTCCATCCGCTGCTTCCTGTAGCGCTGCAGGAATTCCTCATCATCCTCATCATTGTGGATCATGCTGTATTCCTGTAAAGTCATCTAAAAAACACACAGATTCCTGAAAAACAGCTGCACCGCTATATGGGTCACTTACATAATGAGAACATAAATCAAGAGGATTAATGTGGGTCACTCATCTTTAATAACAGCAAAGTGCAACCCATGAAGGCTCAAGCACCCTGTGTATTACACTCCATTCTGATCTAATTAGAAACCATGCCCAGTGGGAACAGAGATTTCAGCCCTGGGTATTCCAGTTTCCACAAGCTGCACTAATAACACAAGTGGCTGCTCCATGCTCCCACTTTAATCCAGGTTAATGGTGGCCATGTGCTTTCACCGAGCTGGGAGCGCTGATTTGGAAACTGTGCCTGACCTCAGATGAGCTTCTTTCTCATCAGCTCTTTATTTAGCTTTTCAGTTAATATTTTGTGGCACCATCGTGCCTGTAGAATTGAAATTAACAGGATTTTATGTGTTTTGTATCTGGTCACTTGCTTCATTAAACTTACCTGCACCACTCAAGACACAGGAGAGCACAGCCAACTTTCATCATCTACAGGCACAGACATGTCTGCAAATTAGTAACTTCTCTGACAACAACTCAGGGCTAGTTAACTGCCCAGCTGATTAAAACCATTCATTACATCCAATGTCTGCAATTTCTGGAGCTCAGAGTTAAATTCTCAACACCCACTTACTGAATTAATACTTAATACTAATTATTAATTACTAAATACTAATAAGAGCTCCTAATTTCAGGCAGGGGAGGCAGCATTCATAATTTTGCTGGACAATTATTCTTATTAATCACATGAGATTGACTTAATCAACAGATGAGAAATCTGGAAAAAGCTTTTGGACTTCTTTGGTATTGCAGCTAAGTCACTGATTTGTCATCACAAGCAAACAAAACTGTTAAACACTTAAGTGGCATTTTAATGCCTTTGTGCCACCCTACCTTCCCATTGATTTTTTCCTGAAGCTCTTTCTGCTTCTGCTGATCAGCCTCGTCATCCAAGTGTGACCTGCAGGTCATGGACAGCTTCTTGATGAGCCTCTCCATCTCCCTGCGCTGCTCCTGCCGCTGCTCCGTCTCCAGCTGCTTAAATCTCCTCCAGTCGTTGATCACTCCCTTGGGACCTGCACGTCAGTGTGGAGCCATTTCGTGTCAAAAGACAACACAATTTTACCTACCACTTACAATCGAGGAATAATTTATAAATCAGTAAAACAGCGACCCAGTCATAAATGTTTTTGTTTATGCAAAATGTATTTTTCAATGCAAAACATTGAAATAAGTCATTTGCCATTTGCATGTCCTTGAGTTTCTATATTTTCTTTAATAAGCCTACAATTTATTTAACTCGGCTATTCATATAATTGTCCCAAAGATCAATACCTGTGCTCTTGAAATAGAACCACCAGCCCACAAGAGTTCCCCTATTGTTAGCATGGCTTTCATTAGAACAAAAATAATGATATATTATCATCCAAATTGTACAAATCAGCCTTGTCTCAGCTTTCTATCCAAAACCTGACTGCTTCAGATATGATGCTGAATTTGAATTCTCTCATAGGAGAAGTCAAACATTAAAAAAAGAACAGCTATTAAACATAAGGTTAGACAACAGCCAGGAATTGATCACCCTCTGACTCAAATATGCATAAACCCAGGAATTCCATTAAAAAAAAAAAAGAGTTTTAGAAGAACATACAAAATTTCCAATAAACAAAGGATGTCCAAAAGAAGTACACTGATATGATGATACCTGTGTTGACAGCGCTGCCATCGCTGCTGAGCTCCACCTCGCCTACACTTTCAGGAATGCTGCTCTCCCCTTCTTTATCCTCCTTCTCACTGTCTTCATCCTCACCCTCACTGCTGCTGTAATAATACTGCAGCTTCTCACCAAGCAGTTTATCATCCGCAGTAGTCATTGTGCTCTAAAAATAAAGTAACAAAAGAGAGGATGCATTTCTGATCAAACGCTCATCACGATGGTCCTTTATTTCCTCTGGGCAGTTTTTAACCCCAGGAGAACACAGCCCACTCTCACACAGCCCTGGATGCAGGCAGTCACCTGGCTTAATTCTTAAGCCACAACTTAAAAGTCAGTTTAAAACCTTAGAGCCTCACTGGACAGCTCCATCAGGCCGATTCCCAGCTACTGAGCAATTCTTGCATTATTCAACAACAATTGATTTGAGCTGAAAAACCATCAATGTAATTATACAAATCAAAGTGTTCTGACCTGTATCCCTTTCCAGTCTTTCAGAGACAAGCTTCTACCAAGACCTGGAAGAAGAAATTTCAATCAGATCAGCTGATGTGGGCTCGATGTTGCAGGGGTCTCCAGCCAGCCCAGGCCGAGTGTGTGACACAGCCCGGCTCCCGCTTTTAGTGCCCAGGGACTCAGCCCGGCTCCCGCTTTTAGTGCCCAGGGACTCAGCCCGGCTCCCGCTGTTCCTGCCCAGGGACTCAGCCCGGCTCCCGCTTTTAGTGCCCAGGGACGCAGCCCGGCTCCCGCTTTCCCTGCCCAGGGACTCAGCCCGGCTCCCGCTGTTCCTGCCCAGGGACTCAGCCCGGCTCCCGCTGTTCCTGCCGGACGCCGCAGGTTCCGCGGGAGCTAACCCCAGATTCAGCCGATTACAGCGCCAGATGGCCCGGGATTACCGGGACCGCCCCGCAGCGGGGCCGGGCCTGGGGCGGGACCAGGGGTTGGTTGCGGCCGGTGATCCCGCGGGCCCCGAGCGAACCGGCTCCGCTCCCCTCGCCCGCCCGGGGAGCCGCGCCCCTCGCCGGGATTCTGCGGGGCCCGGGAGCAGCGGCCCGAGCGGCGCTTCCCCAGCGGACCCGCTCCGCCCAGCCCAGAGTGGCTCCGTTCCCCCGCTCCCCCCGGACCTCCCCAGCCCCAGCTGACGACAAACAGCCCGTTAAGGTGGACAAATAATTTTTATTCGTGCATGCAAATACATGTCAATACTGCAAACTTCTTCCATCGAGTCTCTCAAACACCGAACCGGGATGCTCTATCCGTGCCCAGCCAAAGCTACAACCTCTGCACGTCAGTGCTACAGCGACACACGGGCCCCGCCGGGGCCCCCCTACTCTAACACGAAGGGAAACATTACCATTGGGAATCAAAACCGAAATAAACGGAATAGAATTTACTCCCCCATATATCCCCATTTCATTTTACAGATTTTTTTTTTCTTTAAATTATAGTTTTAAATAGAAGCTGAGAATGCGCCATAAAAATGAGCATTAAATCCATCGTAGCGATGGTGCCTGCTTTATACATGATGGGTGTACACCATCTTTTATTTCATTTACATTTCAATCGAACAATAGATTTGCAAAGAAAATGTCTAATACAGACGTAAAAATATTCACACTAGAGCTTCACAATCGGTTGTACAATTGACAAACAGGCCTCTTTTCCCAAACTTTCCAGCTAAGCAAATTTATAAAATGTAATCAATGCAACAAGAAAAAAAAAATTTTCTTTAAAACTTCCAGGGAAAAGAATACGCAGTAAACAGTATCAATGCGACAGCAGATGCTGCAAGCTAACCACAATACTTCGGAGTGGCTGTACAGTGGGTATGTGCAGTACAAATCAAAGCCACGTGTGTTGTATCACAACTACTGTATAATGTACTTGTTTGCCCAGCTAAGAAAACGCATGCATTCCCATGCCTTGGGTAACGGAGATCTACTCTGGAGAAATCCATGGGCTATGTGCAAATGACCTTGGCTTTTGGCAGTAAGAAACGCAGCCAGGCTCTGCTTTATTTCAGCTTTTACAGCAGAATCTTGAGTGATTAAAAGCTTCCACAAGCATCCTTAAATAAATGGGGTGTAGAATTATGTTTGGGCATTGGGCACTTTGATTATTCAGATTTGTTTCACTTCATCAGTGACAGTTTTGGGGATTCTTCCCACCCTTGTCCTGCTCCCTTGCCAGCAAAGAGATGCAGGGGGATGACTACTGCCAAAGTCAGCTGTTCATATATATTGGGAAATTGGGTCATTTGAAAAAGCACATTTATTGTGTTCTGCTTGCAGAAGAGGTCCCTCAATGAGAGGGAACTTCCTAACAAAGGGATTAAACTACAACATAAAAATGGACTTTTACATCCTATAGATCATCTGATCATTTCTCATTTTGTTACACTCTCAAATTCAACACCTTCCTTTAATACCAGTCTAATAATGAAAAGTCTGTTCACAAATATGATCAAGGAGCTGCTGGCATACAGTGTTTATGTACAGCAACAGGTACAACTTGACAACTTGTGCTTTAAAAAAGCAAACAAAACCAATGGTTGGAACTATTCTGAGTTTAGATTGAGTTATTTTAAGCGTTCTTTCCTCAGCTGTTTCTGACCACTGTGCATTATTTTGTACCTCATCCAGCCTAGTACACTATTATACAAGAACAGCATTCAGCTCTTGAGTACAGGAGAAATTAAAATTTCAATTGAGTTATCAAAGCACTAAAACCTTCCAAATTAGACTTCTACAAAGAGCTTAATTAAGAGCTTATTTAACATAATCAGCTTTCTGCAACTGTTTTCTTTTTCCTAAATCAAATGCCAAACTTTAGTGTCCCTGTACTAGACTACCAAGAACCAACGCCAGTTTGCTTTGCAAAGAGTCTAACCTTGCCTTTGAAGGGTCTAGTATACATTCTACAATGCAAAATCTGCATAAACACTAAGATTCATTTCTTGTCACCTGTTTACAGGAACAAAATATCAGTAGCAGGGCAATCACTCTGCTCTAAGTATATGTTAAGAATGTACAGATAGTTATTTTCTCACACAAGCATTCTCCCAGCACAAGCATTAGTCTCTTTTAAGACCTATGTGGGAAATGAGGCAAACCAAGGAATGAATCCAGGTAGTGAGGCAACACAATTAACTTAGATACTAATAATTCCTGTCTCTCTTGCATGTGAAATCCCTGCTGTACCCCTAATGGGGAAAAAAAAATAATTAACCAAACCAAACCAAAATGCTTGTCCAAGCAAAGCAAAAGAGCCAATCTCTTTCCCCAATCTGCTCCGGGCCTTCTTTTCTGACAGCACAGTAAATTAGGCCAAAACCTAAATGGGCATCACTGCTATTGACACACAAAGGTAAGTCACTCTCTCAGTGTCAGAAAATAAGCCCCTCCATAGCCCAAAGGCACCTGATTTACAATTAACAAATGAATACATACTTGTTTGTAAAGGGTCAAGGGCTGAAATTTCAACAAAGAAGGAAGCCAGAGCCAGGTGTTCCCACCTGCAGCTTCTTCTCCCTGTCAGGGCACTGGAGGGCATTAGTTTGGTGGCAAAAACCACACAGTCAGTCTTAAAACCATAATACAAAGCCAGCATGCTGTTAAACCCTCAAATGATTCTTTTGCCTGTCGTTATAGGTTAAAAATTCAACTAGAAAACTCTAGCCTCAGTTGAGAGCCAACTTTCCACATGAAGTGTATGGCCATCCTAGAGAACTGCTCTATGGGACCTCCTGCTGCAGACAAGAGTCTAGAGATACACTTGTTCTTAAATATGCCAAGACCTTGGCAGGAGTATGTCAGGCTTATTTCACTGGACAAACAGGCAAATGTGTGTAAGCAGCTTATCCCAACCCCCTCCAGCAGAGCACAACCAAGTTTTTAAAATTGCCATTTTAAAATTAAAAAGTTAAGGTAAATACACAATCAATTTATGTAGTATATATTCACCCTCAGATCATGCTGAAGATGTTCTGTGGAGTTCTGGTGCACAGAGGGCTCTTTCCCTGAGGGCAAATAAGGACTTCTCAAACCTTTATATTTTCTCTATTTTTGTAACAAAATAGCAATTTAAAATTTAAAAATCTTTTAAAAAAATTACATCACCTTCAACATGGAAGATCTCACTGTTTAAATATCCATGAAAGAGACATACTTGTTTGCATATCTGTTTTGGAATTACATTGTACAGCAAATAATAGTATCTCAGAAGCATTTCAAAAGTAATATAAATTCATATTTACAGAATGGTCTTGGTATAAAATATACAACAATCATATTTATGTCTAACATTCTAAGTTAAAGTTAACATCAATAGGAAATAAGTTAAGGTGACAAAGGTGGTCTGGTTCTTGTATCCATTCACTTCACGGAGCGAGTGAAAGAAGCGTCAGTCTAACCCTAGAGTGAGGTGGCACTGGCTGGAGAAGGTACAGCAACAGCCAAAGGAAACTAAGAAAAGACTACTCGACTGTTTTTCTACATACATTCCTTGACACTGGAGTATTAAATAGATGTGTAAGATCTTCCATACTGACACCAGAATATCAAAACTAACCCTTGGATTTGCAGGTATATTTACAACATAATTATTTCATGGACAGGTTCGTTAGGAGAGATATCAAACACCAATATTTACTTAGTCTAATCAGTAACCCTCAGGGAAATGCCAACCCCCACCCCCCAGAAGCGTGCACAAAACAGTTATCAAAATCTTACCCGACCACATAGCTGTGATTTTGTAAAATAACAACTCAGACGACCAGTAACATGATCCTCTTTAAGCATTTTGCTAGCAGGAAAAGCCCTTACATGCAGTACACCTGGTGAAAGATCAGCTTGGCTTAAAATATTCCAGTACAATTTTCAGAGTAAACAACTTCACAGAAGTTAATAAAAACATAAAAAAATGTAAAACTTGTCACAAAGAAAAGTAAGAGGACAAACAAGAAGAGAGTAATCATCAGGAGGGAGAGTCCTGCTTTCTTCAAAGAAAAAAAAAAGTGGATTTTTAAGCTTCTCAAAAAAATATGCCCAGGGCTCTAGTTCATGTGTATTTATGAAAACCAATTTTCAGTTGACATGTCTAACATGATTCTCAGTCACCTCTTAACAGGGCATAAATTCATACAGTTTTCAGCACTCTGAAGGTCAGATAATGCTATCTCATTGTATTTTCAAGGTCTTTGAAAATAAGTTGCCACTGAATAAACAAAAATTAAACCTGAATACAAGATTATGATTAACAACATTTAACAAAGGTAATTACAACCACCTTAAATTCCCAATATTTAGTTTAAATTAAAACAAAACAGTACAAAAAACAGCAATACCATCTTGTTAGTCAGTGCAAACACTAGATACAGGGTTTTCAAAGGAAAGCCAAGAGCACCTGATACTTTTTGCCAAGTCATCTGGATCCTATAATCTCCAAGTTGAGAACTATCAACGAAAAAAAGTAAAGTAAGAAAAACAAAACCAAAATTGCTGTTACATTAGTGCATAACCTCTCAAAATCGTTGAAAATTGTTTCATGTGTAGCTTGGGGAAATCAATACCTAGTACATTAGCTGGAGGACTTAGGCACTTGATTTACTTCTGGTAACTTTACTTGGACAAGTAGCCTGTGTATGTGTGTCTACAGTACTAAAGCATCAACTGGGGGGAATGGAAACCAAAAGCTGCAGCAAAGCACTGCCCCACAGACCTACAAATAACACAGCAGTGCAAAGCTGAAGGTGTGTTAACCCTGTAAAAGCCTCAAGTCCAAATCTCCACCTCTCAGTCTTCCAACAGGAAACAAGACTCCATGCAAAGTTCCACAACTAAAGAAAAAGCAGCTGCAACAAGACAAAAGTTCTTCTCTCGTGAAACAAAATAGAGACAAATAAGTTAGTCTTCCTTTCACTAGATGTATCATCGTAGGATCCTGCTAGTTTAAATAACTGAGTTGTTAGTTTTCTACAGAAGCCATTTTCAACAAGAATGGCTCAGATACTGCACCGGATTGCTACAAACTCATAAAAAGCTGCTTTAAGCTTAAGTAAAACAATGTCCAAATTCCATTCATTTGTGGAAAGTGAACGCCTTACCCTACTAAAGTAAGTTTTTTTTTCTTCAGAATGCTAATGCGAGAGGGGCTTGAAGTATCAAAGAGTCCACAGGAAATGCATGACCCCAATATTATTTTTTTTAAAAAAAATATACATTATATAATATATATTATATATATAAAAAGCTAGTGTAAATGCTTCCATGGTGTGGTCACAAGCTGGAAAGATGAATGCCTTTCAGCTGTTAACCATCCTGCCATTTGCAACAGGCTTTAAAAAGTCATTTTTATCCTCAGACATAATGTGAGCAGTTTTCAAAATGAGGCTGCCAACACTGACTGATGTGCTGATGGGCAGGCAGCTTGCATTGCTAACAGATGTTGTGATCGGCTGACTGAAGCAAGAAGTTACGGGCAGGATTGTTTTCTGCTCCTCCCTGAGGAGAAAAATAAGTTACACAAATATTAAACAAGGACATGCACAAGTATCCGGAACTGAATTGTGTGCATTAAATAAATACTGACAAACTCATTTTTAGCAACAGGCTAAACATCTTCCTCTGGAATGGTACGCTCGAGATGTTAAAGTAGTCTGCCTCATTTTCAAAGGCTGCTTTACTCATTAAAGACTACAGGACATACAAACCTAAAATAGTGTATTTCAAAATCTACCTCTCCATGGAGATTTGTGCAAACAGTCCGCCATTTAACCTTTTGAAGTTTTTCTTAATTTTTGTTAACTATAAAAATATTCTGCATTTTTTGCTTACTGACTGTGAAAGGTGTTTTGAACAGCTGTGACACGTTTCAGTGTGTACGATTACAACGATGCATACGAACAATGGTACCAGCCTGGGACTTTCAGCTTTCTGGCCTAATTCTATTTCTTAACAGGTTCTTCTCACTCCACCATGTACAAACAATGCAGATGTCTAATCCAAGTCTGAGCAGGTACGTAGTTCATCCTTACACAACCATGCTTCCACTATTCTGATGCTTCTGTTTGTCTAACACTGGCAGACACTGCTGTTTTGTCTAACACTCACAGAATCACAAGGTCTTCACCTAAACTTTGTCTCTTCTGTTCCATAGATTCTTTCTGGTGCTGCTTTAGCAGATGCCCGTTCTCTACGGTTGTTCCATTGAGCAGCTGATCCTCTTGGGAGCTAATCCCTAGCTGTATGTCCAGAATCTCCTACAAGAGAGAAGGAGAAATGCCCATTAACTCTGTCCCTACCAGCTTTACATTTTCCTATTAAGTTCTACTACACTATGCTAATGGAAACAGGAGTCTGGCCATAAACCTCCTTCATTTTATGTCACACTATTAGAATGTCTACCACATTTCACTAAAGGAAAAGCCAATTGTTGAAAGATGGCTGTGAATGACAAGAGCAGTATGAACCGTGAGCTGTTTTTAGCTTCACTAGTATTAACTGCCAGGTATATGAGTGAGAAGTACAAGACCCCAAGTGCTAAATAAAGGATGTCATTACTAGGACTAAAACCAAAAGGCCTTGCTATCAACACACTAATCGATAAAGACTAATGAAAAGACCCAATTGTTACTCACTTCTATCTGTTCCCCTTGCCCATCAGGTTCGTCTGTATCGAGGGCTGACAGCTCCAATTCAATGTCTCGGTCTGGCTTTGTGTCTGCACAGTCTTCAGGATAATCAGTCTAAAAAAGAATTAATATGTTCTCTTAATATCAAGTTGGCTTTTCACTGGCTTCACACAACACTGGAGAATTAAAGTGAAAACAGAAGATGCATTTCTAGCACACAACATTTCTACAATACAAGGGAGCTAGTCAGACAGAAATGAACTTCAGGCATGGACAATATAGGATACGAGGCTAAATCAAATCAGAACAAAGCACTGAAACAGATAAAATGAATACTAAAGAAATTTGAGCCCATTGACAAAATGTTTAAATTTATAACACATACAACTGGACAAAAATAATGATTGCATGAAAGTGATTGTCACATTCTTCCCACTTTGTAAATGCATGTTTGGAGCAGCAGAATAGCAGGTGCACCTGCCTAATCTCAGGGAAATAACTGAGTGCAACAACAGCGACTCAGCTTGCACACAGTGCAATAAATATTTGGGAGTGCTAAAACCAAGTTTCAACTCTTAGTTAAAATTCATGCACTTATATATATATATAAACACCCTCCAAGATTTGTTTCATCCCAATTACCCCTTTCTTTACCTCACCATTCCTCAAATCAATTTCCTTGCTTAAAAGGTTTAAGGTAAGACGACTGCCTTCATCTAGAGAATTCCACTTCTGCTGCATGGCAAGCGCGTTTGCCTCTCTCTGAAGGAGTAAGGAGTTGCTTTTGGCCTATGGAAAGAAGCAGCTCAGTTACCAAACACTACACCTAAAGCATGTGCAGCCAGACAGCTACACTGAGGAAATTTATTTAAAAGCACTTTACTAAACAATTTCTTTTAAATTAAAAAACTCTCATGGTATAATAACTGGTCTTACCTGCTGTAATTCAATACTCAGTAGATCTCCAGTGCTGGAATGCTTTCTGTGACCAGACAAATCTGTTACTATGAACCTGTCCCTTTAAAAGAAAGAAGGCAAAACTAGGAATTAAAAGAAGTTCTCTAAATCAAACACCCCATAACTTCATTAGTCTATCAATGTTAGATTTTTGGACAGAAACTAGATGTGATTTAGACAAAGTGTTCTTCATCTTCACTGTGGCTCATAATACTTTAAGGTATTGTATGAAGCAAACATCCTTATTTTATACATGGGTAAGATGTGGCAAGAAAACCTGAAACTATTCAAGATTTTGACATGACAACTTGGCAGTGCCTGACTCCAATTCTTTGATAGGTCTCTCAAGGGACACACTGCTAGTAATTGTGCACTATTAACTGCATTAAGAATTAAAGACTACACAAGTTTTAACCTAGTTTTTTCCAAGGCTTTATGCTGGATAGGTAAAAAAGTCTTTTACTTTAAAACTAAGAATGTCTATTAATAGACAATCCAGATTGCCCCCACACACACAGAGGACTTTGAAGAACTGCAAGCTGCAGGAAAAGCTGTGAACAGAGCTCGGGAAGGAGTCCGTACCGTTCCGCATAACGTGCTGAAGAGGCAGAATCTGAGCCATAGGCACTCCATCTTGAGTCTACAGCATTGACATAAGGGACATAATCTGCAAAAGAATTAAGACAGCATTCACCATCTTCTCTGCTCTTCAGTGGGATATACACGTTCTGTAGCTCTTTGCATTTCATAGCTGCAGTAAGCACAAAGAGGATGAAATGCTCATGGTGTGCATAAATGATGAATTCTTGTCACACAAAGCCTGAAGCTGTACCTGATACACTGATGGGCTTAGTAGCACTTCCTTGGGAAGCAGTGGCCTGGATTGGATCTGTTGTGTGATAACCTGTGCGGGATGACCTGGAGATTGCACCCCACTTGGAGATGATGGGTCCGTCGCTGAACGGGATTATCGGATCTTCCTCCTTTGCCCTTCTCTGCGTTTCAAATAAATGCACTCTCCTTTTAACGTCCCCACTGTCCAAATCCTACAGATTCAGGAGACAGGAGACACATGGACTCATTTGAGGTGATGCACCTTCTTCAGCTGGCCAGTAACTTTCTCATTACAGTTGCCTATTTACAAAACTGGGAAAGGATATTATGAGCAGAACTACTTTAAAATACTACTAATGGAAACTATGACCTTTTTTTTTTTAAAAGGCTGGTTTAACCAAACAGAAGATACTTCAGCATGGAAGGATCATCACACTAATGAGAGAACATGCAGAAAACCCCTACCATTAACACGGCATTGGAATTGGCAATCACATCCTTGGGCTCTGAGTCGATAGCATTTATACAAGAGCCAATAGTGCCACAAGACCACGGTGAATAGTGAGAGAGATGGTCTTCCTCAAATTTAGTTCCACTCAAATCACTGACACTCTCTGAGAACTACAGAAAAGGGAATAAATAAGCAGTAAATAATAAAAACAGGGAATTCAGTTTTAAAATGAGAACATAATTTAATTAAATAGCAGTAAATGTATCTCAAAAGTGAATCAAGGAGGTCCAGCCATATTCAAGACTTGACTTGGGGACAACATAAGCTGTTTTTATTAAAATTTTAAAACAGTGCCCCTGGCAGCTGTCAGAGAGCAAATTTTGCCACACAAATAACTGCCTGGCCTGCCTGGCCAAGATTTGGGACTGGAATCTGTGTTAGTGTCAGGTTTCTTTAGGCAAATATCTACAGTTACTTAACTGAGAGGAAGCCGTGCATTTTCCTTTAATGTATTAGCCAGTGCTAAATAAAAGTACAACTTACAACCCTCCAACCTGGGTGAAAACGACTAAATCCTGATCCACCTTGAATACATGCATAAGGCACTTCAGGTACACCTACAAGATCTGATCTGAATAATTATTCTTAACATCGCAAATATCACCAACAAAACTCAAACCACAGCTAAGAGTGCTTGGTACAGTGGTTTTCAAACCAGTTTTTGGGACACATCTCATTTAGAGAGATAAAGTATTTTGGTTTTTTTTTTCCTTCAAAAGTGCACTATTGCTATTTCTTGAGTTCCCCTTCTTCTTTACAGGACTTATCACAGAAGTACACAATGTCCTACCAGTGCTTTTTGCCACTTTTAAGGGAATGCATTCTTTGGGACTTGATAAGCACTTGAAGTTTGATTCAAGGCTACTCATCAAGTCAAGCCATTTGCAGTATCAAAATGCAAATACTTTTTTATGGAAAACACAGCTGCTGTTTCTTACACAAAAACTTGGAGGTTCACAAAGTGAGTTCACTAAAATTACATTTCATTTAGTGAAGTTGAATTGAATCACTTCACTTCTTGACCTTTTTTCTCAGTCATGTTATGCATCACCTTAATACCAAAGTGAAATGCATCATTATTAGATATCACTTTCCTTTTGCTAGAAAATTAACTTAATTTTATGAACAATAAATGGCAGGTAGAAAATCTTTCCTAGAAGTATTAAATGGCATCTTACAGAAACAGGAAGGGAAAATAAAGAGGTTCTTTGGCTTCCCACCTCTGTGCTGAAATCTACACTGAAGAGAGGAGAGGGTGGTGTTGGAGATGGCGTTGCCATAGGAAGGGTTGACGATACCAGAGGAGTTTTCTGTGTGTGGTACTGTGCCCATTGCTCCGGCTTCCGTCTCAGCTGCTCATCATAACCAGTCTTCAAATGACCACAAGGCTCCTAGAAAGAATAAACACAGGACTGGATATCCCATCACACTCTAATCAGAAGGCAAATACTTGCATGGGACACACTTGGCTCCCCAAATTTCCTTGGGTCTGTAACCCTCCACTGATATCACTTGAAGAATTTCACAAGAATTTCTAGGCCCATGTATGGCAACTCAAATCTTAGATATGCAATTAATTCAAGGAACATACAAGGGCATTAAAGAGGCAAAGGGGCTCTGGTCTTGATGCAGATGACAGTGGTCTGTTTTGAAAGCCCATTTTAAGGTTAAAAACAAAACAAGAACTTTGTCCAAGTCACACGTCTCGATCAGTGTAATAAACAGGTCTATGCTAATTATTTACCAGCTTTGGGCATTAAAGAGGTCTTGATGCAGATGACAGTGGTCTGTTTTGAAAGCCCATTTTAAGGTTAAAAACAAAACAAAGAACTTTGTCCAAGTCACACGTCTCGATCAGTGTAATAAACAGGTCTATGCTAATTATTTACCAGCTTCCCAGTAATGACCTTCAGAACCAAGTCTGCATGGAGCTGTCCCTTCCTGGCTCTCACTTACTTACCCTTGGTAAAGGCACAGTCCTCTGCTCGTTTGGAGGTTGACAAGCCACAGAGTAATACCCATCCAGAGAGTTGTACCTCTCCCTCAATGATGTCTGATAGACAGATGAGTGCATCACATCCATGGGAGGTAAAGAATTGCTCCTAATAATATCATCCCGTGGGTACATCTGTGGGCGCCAGATGCGCCTGCTGTCATAGACTGGAGCGTACATTCCAGAGGGGACAGGAGGGACTGGCCCATAGGGCTGCGGAGGAGGAGGCTGGTAGGGAGAATTCAGTCGGTCTCGAGGGGGAAATGTGCTGTAATGATCGGCATATGGCACGGAGGCAGGTGGGAGGGAGGATTCTGGAACGTTATTGGACCTCACGAAGCGAGGAACACAGGGAGCCACACCAGCTGGTACTGTTGGAGGTGCTGGGTAATACCCTTAAAAATGGGAAAAATACATATTTAATGCGACCACAAATGACCCAAAATTTTACACCTTATAAAACTGTTCATAGCATTGGTAAGTACCTTTAGAGAATGAGGAGTCACACTTTACACCTCTTACTGACCCTACTATGTTTCTGTTAAATATCACTTCATGTATGACAACCACACTTGCAGATGCAGCGCTGGCCCTTCACCAACTGGACCCAGTTTGGAAAATATTGCTCCTATGTACTGTGGTGTAACTAAGTAACTGAAAACACAGAATCTTCAGCAAGTCTTTATATAGGAAGTGAAAACAGTTATCTCTAAAATAAAAATCTATATTACTAAAAAATAAAAAGTCTATAAATAACCATTTCACACTTGATTTATTGCTCTTTCTTTGGAGAGGATTGCCTGAACATCTCTACCTTTTGAGAGCTTGTGAATGACTCAGTGCTATAAACCACAATTGTTTGCCTGAATATAAACATGCACAGTGCAACCTAAAAAGATAACTGAAACCTTTCAAAAACATTCCAGCAAGCACAAAGACATGTAAGCCTCCCAGCAGAAGTGTGCTATGCCTCTGAATCCTGTCCAGGGATACCCTCACGGATGGGCCATGGCAAAAGCAAGCCTAAATAAAAACAATTAAACGCTAACAAAGGAAAAAGTAGATGAAAGACCTTGAGATTCAAGTTCTTCTGGAGGCTGAAGTATAAGCTGTATAACATACAGCACACAAAGGCAAGAACCACCAACACTGGGAACAAACTGCAAGTGCCTCACATACCCAGCAATTAACAAGATTAGTATTCCATGAAGAGAACATTCAGCTGATATTTAATAAAATTAAATAAAATAAACAAAACAGCCATAAAAGTTATTTCTAATAAAAGATATTTTTCCAGAGAAAAGTTCAGAGCTATTTCTTAATCAGTGCTGATCTCACTCACCTGTCTGTGGGTACTGTGGAACTTCATATGACAGCTGAGTCCTGGGATCTTGGAAATATTGAACGTTATCAGAATGTGGAGGGTAGACAGGTACTCTGGGAACAAATGGGCTGGATTTTGGAGGCACAGAATTGACTTCTGTTCCAATATTAGGAGGACCAGCTGAGGTAGCTGCTGCCTGGCTTACAGGAGTCTTGGGTGGAGAACCGATTTTACTGAAAAGGATTACCAAGAAATCATTAAACAGATCTTCACTTATTTCAGTCACCTCTTCTTGTACACTCCCACATAACATGGAAATTTGGGCCTTGACATTTCCTCTAGAATTTTGGTTTTTTCATACCCCGAACTGATGCTACGTTTTAGACTTTCTCCTAGGAGAACTCAAAATTGGACATAAATGTTTTGATACCCTTTGTAAGTGTATTCTGGTAAAGACAAAGGTTTTGAAAAGCTGAGAGCTTTACCATTTGTCTACATTGCACATGAGTATTGAACAGCTAAAGCAATGGACTGCAGTGCAACACCTTACACAGCTCTGCAGCCACTGAGCACCAGCAATTACTGCAAGCCAGGACCACACTTCAGTATCTGTTGGCCACCCACAAACCCCATTTATTATTTTACAAAATCTAAAAGCAGAATGTTCTGTTGAATTGTCTTGATGTCAAAAAGTCACCTACTTTTCAGGAAGTGATTCTGTGGGGGACCCAGAAGCGTTCTGGCCATTGGCTCCAGTCTTGCCTCCCTTCTTGGTGCTGTCCAGAGCTCTCAGGGAGGTGTCTGCACAGCGGGGGATCAGCTGGGGCACCCCAGGTTCTAGATTAGCTATTCCATTGGTACTTGGCACCATCTTGCCCGTTGCCTCTGGGCTTCCTATGACAGAGATCACGTTTCCCGTGGTGGTTGAGACGGTGCTGTTTACGCCAACTTTGTTTAGAAGGGGGAATGTTCTCACTGTTGCACTGATTTTTTTGTTCCTCAAGCGATATCTACAAACAAACATGTGCAAACACACAAAAGACAAGATGGTATAGAAAGTGCTTATTGTGAAGTTTAATGGATTTGCAAAACTAGCAAAAATAAGGGATGGACGTGGAACATGACATCAAAAAATTACAAACTTATTTTCAACAACTGGAACCCAAAATCATCTCTCCTAAGACCCATTCTGCAGTTATTTAAAAATGCATTTGGGTGAAAACAACTTCAAGAATGCAGAGCTGCATATTGTTCAATAATGCAGTTCACTCCTTAAGTAATTAAAATGTAATTAACGTTCCCTCTTGTACATAATATAACCAATCCTTGAAAGACACTGAGCTTGCACTCAATTGCAGGAAAGGAAATTTTACCTCATATGGGGTAAAATAAAAAATAAAACTGGAATTAGTCTGTAGACATTGCTTTGCTGTATCTTCAATTTCATATAAAGAACTGTCATGTCAAGAGTCCCTCCAAATGAATGAAAATACGAAGAGGATGTTTTCAAAAATCTCTGTAGATTGCTTGGATTTAAATTAAAAGTATGAAAACAAAGGAAAAAGTCTCCCACACTCACTTTTCAAGCTCTTCCTGAGAATGAGCAAATGTACAGTTTGTTCCTCTTGGACACCCCCCTTGCTGTCGAAGGTCTCGGCACATACTTGTTTTGTATTTGCTATTTGGTTGTGGCTTTAAAAAGAACAACAAACAAAAACCACAAGACATTCCTCTTACCATCTATCAGACATTCACATAAAAGTAGGCTTAAAATACAGAAAATACATCCATGGCATGTTTTTACATTTTGCATTTTTAATCAGAGAAACAAGGACACTCCTTGTTGAGGGGCTAAGTTGTCCTTGTATGCATTTCTCTACGGCCATTCTGCTGCATTCCATATTCACAAATGTTAGGTTCTCAAAATCTGAATGCAGTAAATAACAGTATCATCAATTATCCCACAGGAAAGGCCATAAATATTTCAAATCAACAGTAATTCTTCAAAGTTGCATCTCCCAGTAAATGAGAGAGGAAGTTGAAGATATGATACAATGATCAAGTCTGGTTACCTGTGGAGTTTCATGGCCTTTTCTACTGTAATTCTGAATGAAATCCACCAGCCCATGGACCACAGTCTTTACAGCCACCATTGCATTTTCCAGCTGCTCCCATGTTGGAGATGCTGCATCTAAAATGATGAAAAGCAGGGTTGTCACCCTGTCAATAATTCCAGTATCATAAATAAGAGGCACATCTTGTATTACTTTACAACACCAAGTACTAGGACAGAACTCTGAGAGACCTGAAGAAGAATTTATGATGTTCATTAATGGAAATTTCAAAACCAGGAATGGAGGTGATCATCTTAATTTACTTTTCTGGATATGAAAAATACAAAGAAATGTTTAAAAAGCTTGATTTGCATACCTGGATTTGGATCTATGTTTGCCAGGAGCTCTAAATGAGGCCTCAGCCTGTTTAAGTTTGCAGGATCCCCCGTGCGCTGCAAGACAATTGTCAATTCTTGTACACTCTTAGCAAAAGATTCTGGAGATTGAAGCTGAAAATAAAGGGAACATTAGTGTGCTGCATCTTACAATTGTCAACTACTGATGTCAAAAAGATATTCATGACATTGATTCCTAAATGCAATATAGAGTGTCTTCAGATGGCATATAGAGAGGATCAGTGGAGAGAAATTTTATTTCTCAACTCAGAATCTGCCCTATGAAGCTTCATCATAAGACACCAAAAAGTTAATTAAAGTACTTCATATGATGAATATGCTACATCAGGGAAAAAAATTTCAGTCTAGTTTTAATTAATATTTGATAGAACTACGAACAAAAACTTAATTCATGGAGTTCTTTGATTTTTCTTGTAACATTTAACAGTCAGAACTAATCCTACAAAGATACTAAAATCATCCCTTTGACAAACCTTGTCAATAATGGATTGCATGTGTGATTTATGTGCCAGGTCTCCATACAGAAGGGAAGACCACTGCTCTGGTGATATTCTAAGTCCTGCTTCCATGGCAATGTGAACAATTTGGGCATCGTGCTCTCTCCGCAAAGCCTCGTAACTCCGGAACTCTTCTTTAAGCTGCATCAGAGAAGAATCTTCATCCCTTTTAGTGACCTAATAAACAGTAATAGTTAAACATTCCTTCTTTAACCAAAAATCTCCATGTTCATCACAAAAAACCAGCTGCACAGCACAAACCACAAGTGGTGTTTTACCTTAAAGCATGATGCTCTATACAGTAGCTGCACAACATGACCAATGCTTGTTTTAGAGGCCTGAGGAAATCTTGGTTCCAGCCTTTGCACAACAAAAAGTACCAGAACTTTTCTTGAGAGTGCAGAGCCATCTTCCAGTGCCAGTAATACAAGTTTCAGTGCCTCCTCTTGCATAGCTTTAACACACAAAAAAATGAAAGTTAAATATATTCCAGAAAACAGGAAGGCTTATGTATTTGAACAGGTAAGCAGAAACATCTAAATCATCTTGAATGTAATTCCTTATTGCCTTTTTTTTTTAATTAAAAAAACCCAGCTTTTAAAGAAAATTGCTAGTTTAGAAGAAATATTTAGAACCACTCTAAGCACAGCAAACTTAGAGCTAAGACTAACTTCCAGTAATAAACACATCAGTAGTGCAGTTTTTATACTTTTCTCCACTGTGCAGTCTTGTAGCTATTGTTCTTCCAGGCACCTCTTCAATGCCACACCACGAAACTATAAAATAAATATGGGAACAGTACTGGAATGCTATCAACAGTTACAGGAGTCAAGAGAGGACAACTTCTATTTTAAAGAGAATTTTCTTGCTTCTGCACTTGCTTTAGCTGCATTCTTAGCTATGAATTTGTTTTCTATGTATATAAATCATTGTAAATTTAGTAAGTATGCTGCAGCTGAGGTTAGGCTGATTATATTGACAGCCATTCAATTCCAGCCACAGGCAGCAGTACAGCCAGCCTCCTACACTCCATTACAAACTGTGCACAGCGTGTGCTTATTGACTCCTCTTTGCCAGGATTTTTGAAATACTTCCTCCCAGTTTCAAAGAACATTTAATGGCCCAGAAGAGGAAACAACCAAAACCTTTATGGCAGAAGATTGTACTACTATTTGTTGGGGTTTTTTTCCCCTTCTCCTTTCTTTCTGGCAGAACATCTTCAACTGAACAGAACAAATTTCAAAACATTTTGGTAAAGAAAAAGTACAGCTAAAAATATTATATTGCAGATGTACAGGTCCCTTACCTGGTCCTAGAAACTGGCACCCTCGTGCCCTGACAGCAGCCCAAAGATTGGCAGAAAGCTGCTGAGGATTTTGGTGCTGCAGGATGAGTTCTGTGACAGTTCTCTCTCCCAGCGACCGAGCTGCCCTCATGGCTCTGACCCGACCCTCCTCCTCCACCAGCTGACAATTCACCAGTGTCACAAGCTTCCTCTGCATGGGACGGCTCAGTGCACTCTGATTCAAGCTTGCAACACCTTCAGAGAGAGGGAGAAAAGGCAAAGCAGTGCTTCTCATCAAATTCATCTGAGTGAGACAAAAAAAATGCCTAACAGTGTATGTCTTTCTCTAGGACGTGGATACCAGTCACAGGTGCCTTCCCTTCTCTTAGGCAACTCTGTGTAATTCTTTATCAAAAAGAACTTTAATTAAAATCTTAAACTGACATCAAAGCCATCCTTTGGGGAAAGTTCAGTTTCAGTAGAAAGTTAGCCCCAAGGCAGTATTATTAAATAGAGTATTTTGTAAACTCAAAAATAAGAAAACCACAAACAAGTGTCACAAGTGTGAATAAGTTTTTAAAGACACAAGGCAATTTTATTAGAAAAATGAGAGTATTATCTCACTGACATTTACAATCAGTGCTGAAAACACAACGCTGTTAAAAGCAAGCATCAAAATTTCACTGCTCAGCAGAGACTCACCTTTTCCTCCACTTAATGGCTTTAAGTAGAGTGCCAAATCCTCAACACATTTCTTTGCTACTTCATAATGTTTGTTCTCTCCTACATTACTCAACTTTACTGTCTGATGATCAGGTACCTAAAAAAATGCAAGGGGGAGGAGGGGGGAGCAGAATTACATTCACCTGGCTGACCTCCCCAGTGGTACCCACATCACCATTAATTACATAACACTGCAGATGTGCACTGCTCTGAGAGCAGGGAAACACAGGACCCACCCAGGGCATGGACATGGCATAGGGAACAACAAAAAAGGCCCAAGATGAAGATTAGAATGATGAAAGATGGTTTTTGTTATTACTCAACACCTCAAAAACAGAAGTAGGGCAGAAAACAATAACCAGTGTCTAAAAGATGAAGAACACAAGATCTGAGAAGGTGATCAGTATACCAGATCACCATGATTTACTACAAAAAAAAGCTTTAGCACAAAATGAACTAGCAAGAATATAATAAAGCAAAGTTTAAAAATTATTTAAGCATCATTTGGGCATGCTGAAATCTTCCAAGAGAAGAAGCAGGAAACTTAACTCGGTGGAAAAAAGCTTGAAGTAGAGTAACAAGGTCAGATAAGGAAAATGGAGGGAGTGTTAGTCATAATAAATTAATTGTTTGGAATACATTGCAAGGAGTTAAGAGATCATGAAAATAAATGCTGTGAGATCACAACAATGATCTGACACATAAAAAAAAAAGAAAGGATCACGTGAACTTGAGAAACAAAAACACTCTGACATAATGTCATTGCCAATAGCTGTGTCAAGGCATGTGATAGGACATTACAAAGCCAAGTAAATATCATTTTACTGCCTCACCAAGGTGTTAGAGAGAGAGTAACATGAAAAAGCACATGAATCAGCATAAGGGGAACAGACTTATTTAGTCTCCATAAAGTGCAGTACTGATTATATAATCACTGTTTTGCCACTGCTACGAGACAGCACAGGGAACATTCCTGGCCTGATTAGCCAGTGTCTGCAAACGCAACTGAAAAGCCATCATCAAGCATATTTAAAAAAAATTATACACACACACTTCTGGAACTTGGTTAAACAGCCACTTCCAAACACGTGACATTTAGGAATGAGATTTCTCACAAGGCTAAGATGAACGAGTGCAGTCTGCAGGTTCACTCATTCTACTGACAATTGAGACAGCCAACTGTCTGCTTCCCAAAGGGAATTTGTCTCCAGTAACAGTGCAAGAGCCTTTTAAAATCAGAATTCTGGTTACAATTAGAACACGTTTCCATTTTATGAGAAGATGGCCCTGAAATGGTGAAGCTGTTTTTAGAGTACGTATGGACTCCTAGAGAGTCCAAAGTTAAGCCTTACCATTTATTTGGGCTCAAATGAGGAAGACAGAGCAGCACGCATACTGCAGCTAGCACAGAGAAGGCAACAAAATGAAATGGCAAAACCAAGAGCTGCTTCAATGATACCTGGGCTCCAACGAGCTGGAGGAGTGCAAAGTTCACAGGGAGCACATCGATGTCGGTGTTGATGGCAGTCTGGTCAAAAGGACATGCCTTGCGATGGAGCTTGTTCAGGCAGGTCTTGCACACGGTGTGAGAGCAACCTAAGCTGATGGGTTTGTGCACATTCTCATCAAACTCATTGTAGCAGATTGGGCAGGACAGAAATTCTGTCCACTGAGCTGCCTGCACAGGCATTGTGGAAGCTGGACACTTGTTTAGCAGGCTAGCAGACCATTATTTCACTGTACTATGTTTTGGCAGCTGTAAGTGAATAACAGAGTATTTAAAACATGCTTTCTGGCAATTTAGAATAACTTTTAATTAAAAAACAGACCACAATTTCAATATTACCAAGACAAGTACAAAACCAAATCCTTATGCTGAAGTACTCAAAAACGCCATCTCTGGGTGAGTTTAACAACTGTACCAAAAAAGGCTCATGAACTAAATTAATGCAGACTACCCTAAGTTAAACTCATTCACAATAAATGGCATTAATTATTTTGGGGGAGAGGGTGTGGCTTAGAATGTTATTTTCATTTGAAATGAAGTAAAACAATGCCTTCCTTCTGCAGATCTTCATCAGACACCAAACTAAACGAACTTTGCTTTTTTAAAAACACATTTTCTCTTTCTGTAAAATGGAAATCAACTAACAAATATCAAGAGCCATAAGAAAGCAGTAAAAGAATGAGAAACCAGTTCTTAGTTTTATGATTCTCGTGTTACTTCCGCATTTTCTTGCAAGAACTGGAGCACTCAAGGGCAGAGATTGCTGCGTGCAATTTTGCTTTCCATATTTCTACCTTACATATAACTATGTCCATGAACTCACAGCAAAGAAATCTTTGATGTATGTAAAATCCAGGTATTTAGGACAAAACCTATGATAAGGTAAGCAATAACTTCAGATGGCTTCCTTGTCTCTTGAAAAGTCTCACTCTGTGCAATAGTACCAAATAAATTGTTTACATAAGTGTATTTCAAAGAAAATATGGCTTTATGGAGATTGTTGTTGTATCTTACATAAGTCACATTCCTGGAAAAGGTACCAGGCCTAAGAAGTTCATCAAAACTGTTCTCATCCAAGCTTCCATCATCAGGATTTCCACTCAGAGCTCCACCCTGGAGGGAGCAGCCCCACCCTGGGCTGTGATGTGCCACCGTGTTTGCTCTCTAGGCAACCTACAGACCAGTTGGGTCACTTCAAGGCTATGAACAAGCTTGTTACAAATGCAAATCCACAAATGTTTTAATGACATGCTTAGCATTCTATTTTTTTACTCTGATGACAGAAAAAAGGTAATTGTTCTGAGGAAGCTGAGATGTTCCCTCTGTGTTCAAATCTAGAAACTCCTTACTGCAGTTCCATTGTTGGCTGTGCTATGGTTTAATTAAAGCTAAAGTACCAGACCATTGAAAGAATTACTAGAAGACCAAATAGACTCTTATCTGTGGATGTATTTTATGTTAATTATGACCATCTGTTTAGAAATCCTATTTAGTACTATGAACATTCAGTGCCCTTTAAGTAACAGGATACTTGTACAAGATGTCCTTATCTCAGAGAGCTTTTCAATATTATGCAGCAATTTTTGCCTCAAATGAATTCCCATAGTAAAACACATCAAACTGGAAGCTGAACCTCTCAGAACCAAACTGCTGAGGTTACACTCCCAACATAAGCCAGAAAATTCCCATGTATTGGACAGATCAGATTTTCCTCCAGCTTCTATGAAAGCAGAGTCAAAGCTCTAGCAGAGATGAACAAAAGTTGTCTTTAACATGCTATTGCTACATGTGTCTTTTAACCAAGGAAATTTAAAAGCAAAACAAATAAGAATAAAGCCAAACACTGAGCCAACAGGCCCAGAAAGACCTTTGATTCCTCTGTTAAGAATCCCACCATTTCCTTTAGCACATCTGCTTCCCTTCCAGCCAGACAAGAGATGGACGGAGCTGCAAAGCATGTCTGTAAATACTCAAAGTTTTCTGCAGCACTACCAGAAACATTAGGACACCAACATTACTGCTGACCTAGGGCTGATAGTGCTGCTTTTTCACTTGACTGCAAGACACAGGTAACAGCACAAACCAGAGCACTCTGGAAGTGTGTGACTGTCATGACTCACACTGGGAAAAGTTTAGGAGGCTGGTACACAGAGAGCTCAACTGCTGGCATGTCACTAACGAGCTCCTAATAAACAGTCCCTGCGTCCACACTGCTCATTAATTATCTCACACACGGGGATCTCTGCTCTGAGACAATAACCACGCTCAGTTTCCACAGGTGCTTCAGAGACTTGCAAGAAACCACCTCTCTGTTTACGAGCTGTTAAAATACAGTTGCTTTCCTGACCAGCATAGAAATGAACACAACAGATTCTTCAAGTGTGCACCACCAGTTTTTAAAGATCTATCTCTGGGTGTTTAATCATCCCAAATGACAGACTCTACTAAGCATGTGTTGACCTTCAGATTTCTTGACAGGAAAAAAAATCTAATTAAGCCAGCAAACAGCTGGGAAAAGCTCTTGACTCCCAAAACTTCAAGCAGCCATACAGGGAGAAATCTCCATCCTTTATTGAGCCTGCCAGCTCTCCTGCCACTCTTACACCCCAGTGTGTAGGAAAACAATCTCACATCTCCTAATTACCATGTCAACTCCTACAAAAAGCATAAGCCAAATGTTTAATAGATTCTTGCTCCTTGTCAGAAACAATGTATTTCAGGGATGTCCTCTTGAAGAACAAATTGCTTCAGCACTCCAAACTGAGCAAACACAAGGAGGAGAGCAAAAAAAGAAGGTAAACTAGAAATCCTTTGGATTCTGTTTTTAACAGGCAGCACACCCCGTCAGAACAACTGCCCTTGGTCTGTCTGTTCATTCTGCAGATGTGTTATCTATCTCTACACTACACAGGGCTCCTCTTCCCTGTCCAAGCAGAAGCACCCTGCAAAAAAATCTCAAAGAAGTGGCTGATACAGAAACTGGCCAAACATACAAGGAAGCAGTGTGAAAAGCCACGGCAGTTGCTATTAAAAAGATCATTACATTGAAATTACAATTAGTTTTATAGTATTACTACCAGTAGCAATACTTCAGATGACAAACTGAGAAACGTAAAATGCTAAATTCAGAAATTATGTAATAATAAAAACCAGTACAGCTGAGTAACGTCGTGTTTTTAAAACAGCAGTATTTTCCTATTGCAGTAATGGCTGCAACGGATCAGAGTAACAATGATAACTGACTGATTTTCTCATTTTAGACTAGAATATCTGATTTAATTAGAATGTGGGATGGAAGGGGAGATAAGTGAAAACTCAAGACCTTCCTCAAACAGCTATACTACTTACAAGTGATGGAAGCTATAAGATTTAGATGTCTTTAATATTTTTATATTAACTTTTAGCTACCTAATCCCAAGACATTCTCAACAACTAATCTAAATCATTATGCTTACTCAATAACCTCTGGACATGATAAACAGAATTCAATTCTGATTTCCTGAAGAAACCAAGCTTAGGTGATCATGCTGTTCTGTTAGTCTGCTCCTCTCCCACACTGCCCAGTCAGGGCATTTGCCAAAATGCGGACAGGCAAGTTTCACCCCCTGTGACAGAAAGGGCTGAAGGCTGAACTCGGTTCCCCCACGGCATCAGCTCGGCTCAGGCTCCTCCAGCAGCTCCCCTGTGGGCCATGGCAAAGACAAATAAGCAGAGCCTGGGTGAGAATGAGACACGGAATAATTCTGTCAGTGCTGAACAAAGGGAAGTCTTCTCCACAGATGAAGGAAACGCTTGGAAAACTTGTGAAATTATACGGCATTTTCACAATTGAGGCTCGGTTACAATCCTACTGTGGATTTAAGCCTAAAGCTTAGAATTCAATTGATTTTGAACCACTAAGTTAAAGAGTCCCTGATATTGACTTGCTTTTAATGCTGACTGCAGAGATCATGGTATTTTATTTCCTTTTTTAAAGTGATCTCCATTAAAATTTTTCATTTATGCAGATGAATGGTTGGTTTGTACTACAAGGAGGCAGCTTTTTCCAGCTTTCCTTCCTAAGTTATGTAGTTCCTGAAAGCATTCTGACTGGGTCAAAAACTCACATTTCACATAATATAATTATCAGTATTAACGTATTCTCTGGAAGAGCTAGAATCTTTTATTCATTTCTCTTCAACAGCCATCATCCACAGATCTAAAAAACTGGCTTCATTAAAGGCTTAGGGAAGCACCATCCCCATAACAGCTTTGCATCATTCAGCTATGATGGCCTGAAATTGAAATAAATCCTCTTTACTGAGGTGCCTTGCTTATTTCTACACTCCATAATATCCGTCACATGCAAATCTCTTTACATCATGTGAAAATTCTATACGTAAAGTCTTTAATGACCATTAAATACAGTATTTCAATGCAATTATTTCACTGAGCTATAATGCTCTTTTGAGCATCTGCAGCCCAATTCAAGTTCCAGAAAAGTCACCAACAGAAATCCTGCTGGGAAGGGACCCATCATGTCCAACCCTGCTTCGTGCAGGAGTAGCTGCCACTACACCACGTGTATCATGCACACATTCCTGGAGCTCTGGCAGACTTGGTGCCACAACCACTTCTCTGGTGAGCCTGTTCCAGTGCCTGGCCACCCTCTGGGGGAAGAGCCTTTCACCAGTGTCCAAGCTGAACTTCCCTGAGAGCTTCACTCCATTTCCTCGTGTCCTAAATAGAGATCTGAACATTTATGTGTACCCAGGTTACGTTTTGCTGAAATGCCTACTGGATTCTCTTGTTAACTGGTTAAAAATCAAAGACTGAATCCTCTCTGCCTCCTTAAAACATGGCTGAAGAGTCATTCCCATCAGCAGGGGTACAATATAAATTTCTGTTCCTGGTTGCTCAGTGACCACCAAAGTTCACTCAGTTCAGGGTTAACTGCCCCAAACCAACACCAGAGTCACTGGACCCTCAGCAGCTCCCACCTGCTCCTCCCTGCTCAACCCCTGCTACACAAATCATGTCAGCAGATTTTAAAAGTTTCCTAAATACTTATGTAATGCCACTGTGGGTTTTTCCTTGTGTTTTGTAGGTGTCCCTGAAAGGAGAGCCTGTCCTTGCCACCAGCCTGATACCAACTCAGCTTCTGTAACAGTATTGACTTTTCAGGACTAACTGAAGGGCAAATAAATTAAAGGGTTTTTTGCCACCCAAATCAGTTGAACTCTCTCTGAACGCAGAGAAAGGGAATCCATTTCTAAGCAGATCTACTTTGACACAGTTACTCCAAGAAGAGATACAGTGTAGAACTCCCAACTTTTTGGTAATACTTTCAGTGAATAAGGACTCCCATGTATGGTTTAGTTCTCCAAGGTTTTTTGTTTTTACATGACCTCCATGTTTAAACTATAATTTTTTTAGATGAGAAATTCTGTATTCTTAGTATTTTTTAAACCATTTTAATGAAATACCATTTATATTTTGAGATATAGGCAAGAAAACATAGGGCTCCACGGAGCTGGAAAACCTTTTTAAAGGTTGTACAGAATGACTTTAGATGCCCATGGACATATAATTTTTATTTTTTTCCTTTCCTTAGGGTTGTCCAGTCAGCATGGAGAGACCCTGAACATTTGTCCCATTAAGGGTATATAAAATATCACCAAATGAAATGTAACATACTCCTAACAGATGCTATCAGCTATTACCATCTGGGTATTGTAATTATTTATCTATTTTAAAGCAACAAAGCTTTAAATAAATGAGATCAACACTCAAGATCAGCACTTTGCTTTGGGATGCCTAAAGCACTGACACGTGTTAGAATTTAGTATTTTTGAAAGAAATGTTCACAACCTCAACAAAGACAGAAATATGAATTAATAAAAACACCTTTTCTTGGGAAGCTTTGCTTACAATGCAGAAACAAGAAACAGATCACAAAAAAGGCATGAAGGTCTTGGGAAAGTGATTCACTACAAAAATTAAGACTTCAGTGTTTCATGGAATAATCCTTACACCAGCAACAGAAGTTTCAATTTCTAGTGTTTCCACAGATATTTAAGAAAGACCAAAGGGCAAAGAATAGTATTTTGATTCAGAAGATTTACAGCTGTACTGGCTGCTTCTCATTTAAGATTAGATCTTTTCTGCCACAATTGCAAATTTACACCCTTGTAATCCAAAGGACTGTTTTTAATTTTAGTTTCATTACTATGATGCAGCTATATTGGCCATGAGAGAACAACCACAAGAGAAGCTTCAGGAACTACAGTTAAACCCAAACAAAATTCTAAGTTTGCATGGAAATTAAACAGGCCTAGATCAGAAAATCTCCTGGTTGCCTGTCGAAACTTTGTCATTATTTTCTCTCGTTAGAGATCCACGCCATTCCCCTCTGAACCCTGGATGAACTGAACACTCATCACTCTCCCACCACTCTGCTGCCCTTCTGTGCTTTGTGCTGACTCCTACACTCAACTGGAAACCCTCCGTGCACCTCGGGCATCAGCACAAGCGGGACGCGCTTTTCCTGCTCGGTTCTTTTGTGTTTTGGTGTTTAAGACACTCCAAACGCGACACGGTGGGTGCAGCCCTAGGGCCTGTCTCCCACCACGACTGTGCTCCACCATTACCCCAAGGCACAGCTCCATGTGTATTCCACACTGGGAATATTCATGGCTCCGGTGCGACTCCGGACTGCCCGGTGCTGCGGCTCCCCAGGGAGGGCACCGGGAGCTCCCGCCTCCGTGCGCCGGTGCCCGGAACGCCGGGCGGCCCCGCGAGCTCCCCGCGGCTTCGCCCCGTCCGCAGGCCGCTGTCAGCCGCACCCGAGCCCGGCCCCGCTCCCGCACCAGGCCCGGCTACCGCCCCAGAGCCCGGGCCCGGCTCCCGCACCCGGGCCGGCTGCAGCTCCGGGGCCCGGGCCTGGCTCCCCGCTCCGCTGCCGGGCCTGCTCCCGCCGTCATTTCGGAGCCGCCACCAAATGGCTGCCCGGGTCCCCGGGCCGGCCCCGCGGCCTGCCGGGCGCAGACACCCCTGCGGCCCCCGACGGGCCGCACCGGCCGGGCTCGGAGTTACCATAGAGACGGCGGTGCGGATGCGCCCGCCGCGCGGGCCGCGCCGCCAGGGCCAAGCGGGGGTCACAGAGACGGCGGGACAGAGCGGCGGGCGGCGCCGCCGGCGCCCCCTTGTGGCGCGCCTCGAGCAGAGCCGCCTCAGCGGTTCCTCGGTGCGCAACGTTTGCGTCTGGCGTCGATTATTTATTGTCCTCTTAAATTTTAAGACTTTCGATTATAAATTGTCGTTCTAAATTGCAAGTGATGACTTTATCACTGCTGGCGCTGAGGAGGAGGAGGGGATGGGAGGCGCCCGCTGGCCCAGGTCGGTGCTCCCCGAGCCGCCTCAGGCCGGCGGGGCCCGTGAGGGCCGGGGAGCGCCGGCCCAGCACGGCAGCCCCCGGAGCAACACCCGGCAGCTGCAGCTGCTTCCCCGGTCACGCCGAGATAACACAGCCTCGGCCAAGGTCACGGCGGTGCAGAGCTGTGACTCCTGAGGGGGAAGAATCCATGGCACGAGTGGGTCAGACAGACCCCTCTGAAGGACAGAAAAACGCGTTACTAAATGACCGCCACTGGAACACCGTGTTTACTTTACTACGTCTTGTTTACTCAACACAGCAAGCCAAAATACTAACCGTTAAGGTATGCACAGAATTATTAACTGTGATCAAAAAAATCGAGATGTATTTCTGACACAACGCCTTGTTTGCACTTCATTTATTGTGTTATGACAAGACATGGTTACATGTACGGGCAGGGGAGAGGAAACTCCTCCGACGTGAACATGTGCACAAGACCAGGGTTTGTCCACAAAGCTTACTGAGACACTGCAGCCACTGAACAGAACATGCTGGTGGGCTGTCACACAACACAGCTCCCTCTCATGTTTACATGCACGACCAAAATAACTCGGAACCTGCTCCCACAGAAGATACACTTCAAAAGATCAGTCTGCTTCCCCTCTGGCACACAGGGAAGTGCTCATGAGGGAAGTACCCACGCATACACCTGACCATGCCTGTAACAAGCAGTAACAGGAAAGTGTGCACGGTAGACATTGTACACACCCAACCCCTCACGTAGCTGATCAATAAAACCCCAAACAGGCTGGTGCACTCACAGGCGCAGGGAAGGAAAGTGAACTGACATTAAAAACTATTGTCTTAGATTTTAGAGCCAGCCAGATTCTGAAGCATTTGGGCCAGACTTCTGGACTCGGAGCAAGAACTTGGAACAGCACTTCTGAAACTTGAAGGAAAGAGTGATACAGACAGGAGTAAGAACTACTGCTTTTTGCTAGTTGTAAGTACCATTATCTCATATTAACAACTGAAATTACTCTTTATTCATATTACATTAAGTGGAAGAAACATGTACCAGCCAAAGACACAGACTGCATCACAGGGCACTCGATGCTCATGATGAAACTAAAATGACCTTTGACAAAGCACAAACACACTTCTGCAAACACACATCATGACTGTGTTACCGTGTCACAGAATCAGGGTATGAGACCTCTATGTCTAAGCCATTGCTAGTCAGACAGAAATGCCTGTTTTTCAAAATTAGCATTGAAAATGTGATTACCCAAGAGCACACAGCTGAATTTCACACAAGTGCATATAGATAAGATCTGTAAAAAAATGAAGGCAGATGTTATGATGCAACAAACAGTTAACTAAACTTGTCAAATACAGGTGCAAAACACTGGTATGACAGAAAAAACCCCACTATTAGAAGAAAGAAGTTTATAAAAATTCAGAACTTGATAAAACTAAAAGCAAGTCCTTTTCATGGGACTGTCCAGTTACAAATAAACTGCAAGGCAATACTGTTTGTTTCTTTCTCTTTTACAAATTCTCTATTTTCAAGAGACAAATTAAAAGGTTCCTTGATTAGTTTTTGTTTGTTGTGTGTCCTTAAACGTCACAGAGTTGAGTATGAAAAGACACCTTCTTTCTGGAAGATCTAGTAAAGTTTGGGCAAGGAACGAGATGATTTCACCACGAATGATCCAGGAACTGGATTGGAACAACTGACTTGCTGGATAAATACAAACACCCCCTTCCCTCAGCTGTTGTTACCAACACCATGGCTCAGGCTTCAGCTTATTGCAGTATCAGTAATAGTCTGAAAGTCAGCAGTGCCTGCCCGTGAAACAAGGAATATAAAACATCATTGGGGGACCAGGATATGCTCAGTATAACAGAAGAGAAGCATGAAATAATTTCCCGTATTTTGCAGTTACTTTCAACTAGGAAACACCTTTTTTCACTGACAGCAATAGCAACCTTAATGCAGCAGGCAGGTTTCCTGCTCCAAGGCCTGTCTTGGATCACCAGCCACCTGTTTATGCTTCTCTCCCTTAGATGGGGATCTGGAACTGGAATTGCATCTAGAATTTCACTAGCCAGGAGCTTTTTGTGGAGTCTGACTCCACAATTGCCCAGCTATCAGTCATAGTCTATTTTAACTTTTGTAATAGTGTTCAGGTTTGGCTTTTCGCTGCTGCTCCTTCCATGAACAGAAGTCAAATGCTTTTTAAGAGCAGACTTGTGTTTGAAGTCCATGTCGCAGCAGTGGCACTTGTAGGGCCTGTCCCCGCTGTGGATGTTGAGGTGATCCTGGAGCGTGCTCTTGGCCGTGAAGGTCTTCAAGCACACCATGCACTGGAAGGGCCGGATCCCCATGTGCCCCCGGATGTGCCTGTTGAGATTCTTTTTTTGCGTAAATGTTTTGCCACATTGCAGGCACAGGAAGAGTTTGTGCATTTTCAGATGTCTGAGATAGTTCTCGAGGTGCACAAAGCCCCTGGGGCACTTTGGACACTGGTGCCGCCATGAGCTGCCAGAATCCTCCAGGCTCTGGAACCCATTCACCCCACTGGAAGTTCCTTCTGGATTGTCACCAACAAAAGCCTGAAAGTGATTTCCTGGCATTTCTGTATTCCTGCTTTCAACTGTAGAGTTTATCAAGGAGTGCTGGGTTTCTGGGAAATATAGATTTGTTTTAGAGGAAGTGCAAGGCTGAGGAAAATGATCATTTTCTACATTCGCCACACTCATGGAATCCATTCTGAAGATACAGATTTCATCATCCTTATACCCGATTTCGACTGTTGATATTTCTGGGGATTTTGTGTCCTTCCTTTCTGACACCAAGCTCTGCCCTGCAGGGTGTGGGCCATCCCCATCGCCATCACCATCCTCCTGTTTCACAGGGTATTCTTCGTTCTCTGGGCTGTCTTCAGAGATCTCAATGATTTCACAATCTTTATCTAAAACCTCATCCCCGCTCCTCAGTTCAGCATCCGAGGAGTGGCACCCCTCAGCAGCCTGGGTACCGCTCTCCATGGAAGCGTCGATCTCCAAGTACTTGGACAAAGCCTCGGTGCACTTCTCCACGATGTGAACCATCTGCAGGTAACTCGCGGCCGTCAGGTACTTCAGCAGCTCCTTCTTCTTGACTTCCAGCGCGCCCGTGTAGCAGGACAGCAGCAGCTTCCTGCCCACCTCGGCGCTCTGCAGGATGGTGATCCGCACCTGCCTGGACTGGTTGAGCAGGAACTGATCCCGCATGAAGGTGGAGCAGGCGGCGAAGATCACCTTGTGCCCCTGGAACTCGGTGTCGTTGATGTAGATGGACACGTCGCAGAAGAGGTTCTGCTGCCGCAGGAGGTTCATCTTTTGCAGCACGGCATCGCCCTGCTGCTCGAACTGGAAGTGCAGCACCTCCGAGTCCGCCGCCATGGCGGGACCCGCGGGCGCCGCCGCAGCGTCTCACCGGGCGCAGCCCACCCCGCCTCCGGCAGGACCCGCTGTCCCGGTGCTCCCGGGCCGCCCTCCGCCGGCCGCGCTCCCGCTCCGCCCCGCTCCCCGGCCGCTCCCCGCAGCCGCTGCCGCTCCGCCGCCGGTGCCGCAGCGCCCCGGAACAGCTTCCCCGCCCGCCCCTTCCGCCCGCCCGCCCCCGCTGCGCCGTGACCGCGGTGGAAATGAGAGGCGGCGGCAGACAGAGTTAGCAGCACGTTTATTAGAAGACTTGGCACTGCTACAGCGGCTGCCGCTGGGGGAAACCGCACCGGCAGCGGGGCGCGCCTCGCCCACCGTTCGGTAGAGGTAGCGACGTGTCCGCCCCCATAAGGCATCCCGGGGAGCGGCTACCGGGGCTCCTCCTCGCCATCAGCCGGGACGCGCCGGGGGAACGGCGAACCGCCGCCCCGAAGGCCGCCGGGACGAGCTGCTGGCTTCTTCACGGCCGCGGGACATCGCCCGGCAGCCGCCGACCCGCCTGCTTTGGTTATCACACGTAGTGTAAGACTTTTGCCCAGTCAGTGAAGAGGTAGCTAATGCTCAGTCCATCGATTATACAATCTCAAAGGAAAGGCGTCCGTCCTGCCTTCTCACCCCTTACCAAGTCGGGAGGCACCACTATGTCCCCCTCTTTGTTTATAAAAATTAACATTTAACGTGACTTTAGAGTTCTCTCAACAGTTTCAGTTTGTATCACATTTTGATTCTCCCTCCTCACTTTTATTCCTCCCAGTGACTCCAAAACCATAATCAGCCCCACACAATTAATTTCTACGTTATTTCAACAAAAGTTCAACGGCAGCTAAGTTTTGCCAAAAAGCTAGGGGAGAGAAAGACTGACACTTCAAATTCATCAGTTACTAACTTGCAAAACATGTCTTCTAAAAGAAAAATAAATTAAGGAAAGACTCATCCCTGATCTATGCAGGAGGCTGTGCAGTTGCAGCATGTGCTGCAGGAACACATGCTACACAAGCTACCATCACTCAGAGAAGTGGTGAGCCCAAACCTCTGGCAAACCTAAATTCTAAAAATTCCTTCTTCTATATAATATAAATAAATAAAATGCCAACTTAAAAAAAATTCCTAATATACTGAGGAGTTATTAAAATACTTTTGTAATAGACTTCAGTTATTTTTAGGATA